TTCACCAATGAACAAATATGTATGTGTGTGTATGTATGTATGTAGGTATGTATGTATGTATACAGAAACACATTTTGCTTTAATTCAAAATTAACTTTTTGTCACTTGTTATCAACAGATTCTACTCGGTAAAAGAAATAATTTTTTTTTAATTTTAACTTAAACACCAATGATACAGATTCATCTTGGCAAGCTTCATCATACAAACCATAGTGCAGACACAAACACAAAACATAGAGAGTGTAAAAAGAGCAGCGATGCAAAAATAGCATCCGTATTAGTACATAATTGACTGAGTTCTTGGAGCAACAGATGTTCTGGCTAATTTAATTTTCTTATAAATTGACAAATAGGACAAGAAGCTCCCAACATTTGAGAAAAATCTTTGTGTCTTGCTTCCTTTCATTGTATCAAAAAAACAAAGAGCACACTGCACTGTTTTGTTGGTGATTCCAGGTTTCCCTCTATCCTACATCATTCTGACCGTTACTGAACACAGTGATAACAGTTTTCTATTTTAAACCTATATTTTAAATTGTCTCTTATTGAATTGTTAGTGGTTCCTAAAAATCACTAATATGATGATTAATCTTGATTATCAACTTGACAGCATTTAAAATTTTCTAGAAGACACACCTCTGAGTTTTGAGCCTGTTTCCAGCGAGAATTAACTGAGAGGGGATATCCTGCTTTGAATGTGAATGCCACAATCTCTTAGAGGGCTACCTGGACTGAATAGAAATGAGGAAGTGAGGTGAGTACCAGCACTCACTTCTCCCTACTTCCTGACTGTACATGCAACATGACCAGATGCCCCAGTTAGAGACTCTTATCAAGCTCTCTGTGCCGAGATGAACTAGATCCTTCTAAAACAGCCAGAACACAGCCTTCATTAGGGTGCATCTGTGGGCACTTTATTTCAGCAGCAAGAAGAGTGATTAGTACAGAAAACTGGTATTGGGAATGGGCTGGTGCTTTACTAAAGTGCTAATAAATGCAGTATAGGCCTTTGATGCAGGTTGCAGCTACGAGCTAGAGAAGTTCTAGAATTCTCTAAGCAAAGTTTAATGGGCCAGTCTGGTGGGAGTTTGGAAGACCAGAATACTAAGAGAAATGAGAATGGTGGAAACCTGACTCATGAGGTTCAGAACAGAGCAAGGATTCTATTGGGAACCGGGCTAGTGTTGCACTCTAGCAAAGAGTCTCTCAGGCAAGATTGAGGCTGAACTCAAAGGTGATGGATGGATTAGTTTAGATGAGGAAATTACAAGAGAACATGGCATTCAGCTGTGTCATGGTTAGGTCTTATTTCTCTTATCCGTGTTTATGGCAAGATGGAGCAGCAAGTGAAACAGAAATACATAAAACTTAGTTTGATGAGGAATGTATGAGTTTGAAGTTGTGGTTGAAAGGATGCAGAGAATGAAGCTGTAGCTGTTAGAACAAATAGCACAGTTAAAGAGAAACCCCCGCTTTGAACTAAGACAAGACTCCACTCCAGACTCCACTCACAAAAACGCAAATTATTTTTTTCAAGACAGGGTTTCTCTGTGTAGTTTGATTCTTGTCCTGGAACTCACTCTGTAGACCAGGCTGACCGCGAACCTACAGAGATCTGCCTGGCTCTGCCTCCTGAGTGCTGGGATTAAAGGTATGTGCCACCACCACCTGGCACAATCATAGTACTTGTTGAGGTTGAGGCAGGAGGATCTCTATGAGTTCAAGACCAACCTAGGCTACATAGTGATTTCCAGGTTGACTTGGGCTTTAGTGTGGAAACCAATCTCAATTTAAAAAAGGAACATAGGGATGAAATAATGAAAGAAACTAGACATAATTTTATTAGGATCAGAAAATGATGCTTCACAGCAGATAATATTATCAGAAATAAAGAATACTTTATAATGTGTATCAAGATGTTCGAATGTCTTATTATACAGTCTCTACTGTCCTGATTCTCACTATCTAACCCATGCTAGAATGAATGGGGTTGGTATTTATAGACTCATATATTTGTATGCTTAGTCCTGAGCTAAGCTGTTTAAGAAGAATTAGGAGGTGTGGCTTTGTTAGAGGAGGTGTGCCACTGGGGGTGGGCTTTGATATCTCAAAATCCCAAGCCAGGGCCCGGGCCAGACCCAGTCTCCCAGTCTTACTCTCTGCCTTTCTGTCTCTCTGTCTCTGTCTCCTCCACCTACTCTGCTGCATGCCACCTGAGGATCAGGATGTAAAAGCTCTCAGTTACTGCTCCAGCACCATGCCTACCTGTGTGCTGCCATGTTCTCAGCCACGATGGTAATGGACTAAACCTCTGAAACTATAAACCAGTCTCAATTAAATTTTTTCATTTATAAGAGTTGCCATGGTCATGGCGTCTCCACAGCAATAGAAAACTAACTATGACAATGACCTAGAAATTTCAGTAATTCTTCTCCCTCAGCCTCCCACATGCTGGGAACATGAGCATGTACCACCACACCACCTTTCAGTTTATTTATTGCTTGTCTCTAAAATATATTTACCTATTTATTTGGTACTTGGTCAGTTATATTTGGCTATATATATGTATATATGCTCTTCCAATATACCTTGTGTCTATGCAAGAATTACAAGTGTTGGAGCAGAAATATCAAATGCAAAATAAGTAACTGAGGTCTAGACAGCCTTAAATTCTTCAGCTATGAACATAGGAAGCATTAAGTTATTTGGAGCCAATCTTTTTAGCTTAATTAGTTTTAAAAATTGGTGTAATGCTACCTTCCAGTAGTCACTATATACTACTAGGTGTGACCAATGCCACTTCATGCAGCAGTAAATGCTTACACAATTAGTAATGTAACCAAGCCCAACTCATAAGAACATCCACAGTTAGAAATGCAGCAGCAGAGACTTCTTATTTGTTGTTCTTTGCATATGGAGCATAGTGTTTTCTCCTGGATGTGTGACTAAATAAAAAGGTGCAGAGTTCCAGCAATCAGAATAAATGCCTCAAACATCTGCAGCTATACATATGTGGAGCATACAGCTGTGTTTATTTCAAAGATAACACATTTACATGCATACAATACATTTGCTTAAATGTATATTTTATGCATGTGAGAAATTCAAACAAAGGCATTTTCTCTATTTGAATATGCATTTGAAAAATGACTCAAAGACATTCTCCACATTTATTTAAAGCTAACAGCATTTATTTATACAGTGTACTTATTAATACACAATCATAACTCTTTCAGACTAACATATTTTAAAAGATTAAAGAAACTTAAATGGGAGCATAAGTCACACACATCAAAAAAGTTTTGGGTAGAGTTATTCATAGTTCAATCTTTCAAAAGACTTTGAAAATTCAGCAAGATAAAAAATAAAATAAAGTCATTTGCAATTGGAATGTATTCATTTTAGTCCAACAATTTTGTCACAACAGGGTGGGCATTTTATTTGAAAAAGGAAGCATGTATCTTGAGTTATTTATTTTTCTTTCTACTATACTATCTGACAAGATACACATTCCTTGTTTTTGATGTAATAAATGATAAATAGAATGCTTCATTATTTTAAACCCTTCCCTGAGAAAAATACATACACAAGTCTGGTTAAGAACATTAATATAATCTCATTTAATTCTACCTTTGCTTAGGTTTAAAGAAGTGGATATCAGAAAATAATTGAGAAGTACAGAAAATAAAAACATATTTTACGTTTCATTTCTCAAGATATCATGAGAGATTTTGGAGAAATTTTTATGTGTCTACATTCTTTCTGTATGGTATTTTGCCTCTTACAAAAGATGTGATGGGTTAGCCAGAGGAGGATAGCAAACTTTAGTAACAAAAATTGCAATTGAAGGGATTTTATTTATTATTGTATTATATTTTTCTTTTTAATTAAAAATAAATTCTCCCCTAATACCATACATTCCAACCAATTTCCCCTCTCTCTATTACTCCAGCTCCCCCAACCACCCCCAAAGGTCCTCTCTCTTCTAGATCCACTACCCCTACATTCCCTCTTCATAAAAGGGCAGGCCTCCAAGAGACATCAGTCAAACGGGACAAGACAAGACACAACAAGACAAGGCAAAAGCCCTCATATCAAGGCTGGACAAGGCAGCCCAGCAGGAGGAAAAGAACCTTAAGAGCAGGCAAAGAGTCAAGAGATAAACCTGCTCCCACTGTTAGGAGTCCCACAAGTACACCAAGCTAACAGCCATATGTGCAGAGGACCTGGTGCAGACTCATGCAGGCCGTGTGCTGCTTCGTTTCTGTGAGCCCATGTGAGCCCTGCTTAGTTGATTTGGTGGGTTCTCCTGGTGTCCTCCACTCCCTCGGACTCCTACAGTTTGGATTTTAAATTCAGTATAAAGAGAACCACTGCTGGCCCTTAGATTTGTTCAGTGATTTAAATAAACTTAACCACTTCTAGTCTGTTTCCTACACTGTAGATAATAATCTTTCAAGAGGTTTTGTCAGGATTGTAAAAAGCATAATTTAGAAAGCGGTCAATTGTCAAATACATTCTCAATGTTAAATACCTCAATATTGTTTGTTCCTATTTTACCAATGCGAAAACTGTTTCTGAAAAAGACCCACTATCATAGTCACTGGTCACATTTCAACAATTACTTTTCCTAAATTGACTCTCTTGTTAAAAGTGAAAAATTAAACTAAGAGTTTCACATTCATTTTCTTTTTTGAATCTCACTACATCTCCACCCCTTGCCTCTCACATGTTCTCACTGTTGGAAAGTTTTCCTAAGGATAATCCCCTGACTGGATTTGGGTGTGTTTGCGTGTCAAAGGTGGAAGTTGGTCACTCGTTAAAATAACTTCTTATGTTTGTGAAAAAGTCAGACTCCTCTAGGTTAACTTGTGCATCCTCAGAAGCACTAAAGCTTTCTGGTATTGAGGAAGGATGGGCCTAAGGGCTCGCGCCATCCTGCAGGCTCGCGCGGGGAAGGTCCAGCCAATCAGAGCGCAGACTGAGGGCTGGCCCCGCCCCTCCTCCTATGGTCCTCCCGGAGTAGGGGTGTGCGGCTCCTCGTCCCGCCCCTGCCTCTGAGTGACAGCAGCGTGGACAGCTGCCCACCCGGCCGGACCCGCAGTTGGGCCGCCCTCGCTGTGCTCCGCTGAGGTGTGTTTCCGGCGAGGGCTGGGGGTTCGGGGTCCCGGTGCTCAGGACGCGGGCCCGGGGCTGGAAGCGCGCTTCCTCAGCGTCTCCCAGCCCTGTCTCCGGAGACTGTAGCTCCGGCCCGGGGGCGGCCCCAGGCGCGGGGCCTGGGCGTTGGGAGGCTCTTCCAGGGGAGCTGGGCTCCGAGGCCCCCTTTTCCACGGGTCTCTGCCTCTGGCTGGGCTGGGGCGGGGTGGGCGTGGCCGCCTCGGTTGCCCAGCAACGCGGGGTGCGCCCTGCCAGCGTGTCTTGGAGCTCCTGGTCTTGAAACTCAGTCCCACCCACTCCCCTCCGCCCCGGTCTTACCCTAGGCTGTGGATTCGCTCCCTGTGCTGTCCATTAACTCGAGGGCCTTTTCAAAGCTGAGTGTAACTCTAGTTTCTACAAATTCTGCTCAGGCCTCCCTCTTCTGTGTTTTAACTCCTGTATACCCTATTTTATTTCCCTTTTATGGAAACAGTCTCTGAAACCAAAACATTTGTAGAGAAGAGTTGCTTTATTGGTTAGTGCTCGTGGCAAAATGGGGTTACTTTTCCTGATGCTTGGTGAATCCTTGAACCCAAACGATGTTGCTGTCTGTGTGGATGCCTAGGAAAAGGAGTTCTGCAGTATGATGTCTTCCACTTGACCTTAATGAACTTCCTTTGGAAGTTGCAACTCATTACAGGAAGGGCGTTCGTATATGATCTTCCTTGCAGTCTACTGTGAAGCATATTAAACATCTAAGCACCTACTATTGGACCCATATTTAATAATGAACTACAAGTGCAACACAGATAGCTTCTGCAGATCTCTTCTTCCCCCATATCTTTTGGCCCCACATGATTCAGCAGAACAAATATTCTATAGGAAAACACAAAGGAGAAAGAAGTTGGCCTTTCTGTCTCTGTGCTAGGTTTCCAATGTAAATCCTTAGGAAGGGAGCTTTGCTTGTTCGGCTGTTCACTAGCCAGTAAGACAAGGTTAGTTTTCCGTATGTGAGAACCCTCAACCATTTTTCATCTCTAAAGTGCTCAATCTAGTGTCTAGGATTAAATCAGTAGGATTAACTGATTTAAAAGTATGATTAAAATAGTGATCTGTACAAATGCAAGGCGTTACTGATTACAATTTCCATTTGTTTAGCTTAGAGTACTTTAAAATGTTCTTGACTTTTCTCTTAGTTCTTTGATTTGTTGAGAAATGAAAATGAAGCCCTTTAATCTTTCCTTTACTGGTTCAGCCTTGTTACTGCTTAGGTAGCACATTAGTGTCTTGCATGGCAATTTCTCTGCCCTTAACAACGTTAGTTCCCCACCTGGTGTGTGTGTGTGTGGGGGGCTCATGGAAAGATTAGGAAATGTTAGTGTTAAATCTAATAATTTCCAAACTTTTTGATGTCACCATTTTGAGAAGTCAATGAAAGCTGGAAGAAATCCTTTAGATGGGGCAGAAATTGAAGAGTAAGTGGAAGCTATATTGAGACCACCTGTTTTAATTTAGGGACAAGATAATTACTTTCTCCCATGACTGATTAAGGAAAACTTGGAACAGAGATTTTTAATACTCTTTCTTCCAAAGAGCCTCTTACCCATCTAACTCTCCATATAGGATCATTACAATCCATCTCATATTTATTAGTAATCAACCAACATCCAATGCTGAATAATGTGTGGCTGTGTTAAAGTGTAAGCTGTGTTTCATTCCAGATCTCCATTGATCTTGCCTATGAAATCATATTCAGGTATTTAAACAAGTGAAAAAAATAGTGTTATAGGGCAGTGGTAAATTGTATTTTGAGATAAACATAAAATGTGTAAAATTTCGCTTGCATCAGTGTTCATTTGGACAAAGAGAGGCTGATTATGTTTAGTTCATGCAACTGTAAAATCGTCACCTGGTTCTTTTTTACAGTTCAAGTGAAAGATCTTTTGTGTTTTAATTTACATAGACTAGCACACATATCATGGTTTTCTTCCCTGGTAGCTGTTTTCCTGACTTTATTTTCAAATAGAAGACTTTAAATAACGTTTGATATTTTTTGCTCAGATAACCCACAAAAGCAGATACCAGTTGTAGACGTGCTACCACTGGATAGAGATAGCATCAGAGTATGAAGTATGTATTTTTTTGTAGTAAGTGTTGAGTATACAAAAGGACCTGGTATTTCTTAGAACTATTCATATGAACTCTGTCCTTTTTTACTGGCCTCTCAAATTTTAGTAAATAAACTAGATCAAAGAAAGATAAACTAGACAGAGCATCAATGGCTTAAATATTTTAAGACTTAGAAATGGATTTTTGTTTCTTGTCCTGAGTTTGTAAACAGTATTTGAACATCAGTCTTGTTATTAACAAGCTGACTGGGGGTTAGTGCTCTTGACAGGATAAAAAAAATGGCTAGTCCTCTTTCCTAGCCTCTCTAGCCGTCTATTCCCTTTCCCACAGACTAGACCTTCAATCACCTGCTGGAGAAAACATTTAGTTTTCAGAATAGATATGCTTATTCAGACTTATGGTTTTGTATCCCCCACACTAGCTCCATCATGGGAGTGATGTAGCCTGGTGGGTCCCAGTCACTGATTAGACAGTGTTCTCTGGTAGTTCCTGACCTTGTTGCTGACAAAATACCTGACTACAGTAACTGAGGGATGGAAGGTTTATTCTGGATTAATGTACCAGAAGTAGTCAGAGGTGGGGAAGGCCTGGAGGCAGGAGCGTGGGGCTGCTGGGAATGCTGTATCAACAGGAAGAAATGAACAGTACATGCTTGTGCTCAGCTGGCTTTCTTCTTTTCATGCAACCCAAGACCCAGCCCAGGGAATGGTGCTGCCCACTTTTAGACTGGGTCTCTTCACCTTGACATAATGACGATAATCTCTATAGACAAGCCCAAAGGCTTGTCTCCAAGATGATTCTAGGTTTTATTAGGTTGATAGTTAATACTAACTATCACATTCTCTTATTTAGAAACTGTGAGTGAATGGAATCTTAGTTGATTGTTAACCTGGTGCTCTGGTTTCTTACAATGAGTGATATTTCTTGGTCATTGGATGTGTGTAATAGCATTTTTACATTTACATGTTCCTCCATGTCAAATTGTGAAGTGAGAATGTGTTTCCCCCAGACTTTGTACATATATCCTTGTTTTGATTTCAATAGCAGTAGCTCTATAGATGTCTTAAACATACTTTTTTGAATATAGTATTTTTGTGTTCTCTCAGAATGTTAAAATGATGCTAATAGGAAATAGTGATACATATTTACTCATATTTGATTTCCTCAAGAAATTTCTTAATTGAACAAATAGGAATCATTTAGTCTAGGAACTTACTCTTTTTCAGACCTCTTAAATATACTTAATCTTTTTTTATATGGTAGAAATGCCAGGTGTCTTTGAAACAGTAGAGTGATTTGTGTATGTATTTTAGTGAAAAAGAATTCTTTTACCTCATAAATTTGAATAATAATAAAAAGGTTAACATTCTGTACTCAGTGATATAACAAACCATTGTGTTGAATCACCAGGTAAAAGAATTTTATAAGATGAAGGTTTTTGTCAACAGCATGTCTTTGAAGTCATGGAAACCCGGCAAGAATAAAGTAGCTTGCTTCTTTTATAGTTTCTCATAGTTGCATAATTGCAAAACAGCAGTCCAGTTAGATTGTAAAATGTAAAATTTTAACTATTACACAACAAAGATGACTCAATCTGGAGAACACTTGGTTTTGCATAATAATGTCATATTTAGAATAATAAATTATGTGGCTACATGTGACAAGATCCTAATTATGGATTATAGTTTATACCCTGATTCAAATGGGGAGTATATTGGATGGAAAGCTTTAGATTTGATTCTGGTAGCAGACATATTATTTATTGGGTTTTAAAACATTTCTTGTCATCAAGTTATTCTGTGTAGGAAGGCCTGGAGATTAGTGGATATTGTTATTTTTTTTTCCGCCATCATATTTGAGTATTGTAATGCATTCTTCACAGTGACTCAGTGTAGCACTCAGTCTCTCTGGGTAGGGTTATAGCAGATTATTTATTTTCTGATTCTGTCCCTTCTCAGCTTCTTGGATCCCATTCTCTAGATTCTTTCCTTTCCTCAAATCTGTTTCCTCCAAAACATTGGACTATGCAGAAATGTCCTGTACAGGTTTTTATGTAGTATTCTGGAAAACATAGCATTTGGCAGTGAAATCAAGTTGAAGAAAACACCCTATTGAACCAAGGAAGTTAACGAACATCTCAGAGGCATGCCTGAAGTCAAAGAAGACCAACTCAAGGAAATGTTTGATGCTGATGTGTTCATAATGCATGGCCTCTATGTTTAGAACTCCATCCAGGAAGGACAGACAAAGATAAAGTGATAGTAGAGAGAGAGCAGCAAAGATAAAAAGATGACAAGAAAATGAAAAATATAAGAAACATTGAGTCTTTACTTTTGGCATAATGACACTTGTTTAGTGGTTTATAAACAATGCAGTTTCATTAACTTATACTTAAGTAGTTTGGAGTTAGATATGTATCACATTGGATGGTAATAATAGTGTTATCAGGGCTGTATTCATTTGTGTAACTTCCAGTAGACAATCTTGGTTTCTGTGCCTTTCCCATCCACCCACATTCCTACATATCTGACCCTCTTCTTTCATCTGTTAAGACAGCAACATTGCATGTGTCTGACTTATCCTTTGTAGCCCCATCTCCTAATGACAGTGTGGACCCATCAGTAACTTATTCCAGGTTCTGTGAATTAAAATTTGTACATCTTTGGGCCTAGCGAGTGTAATACCATCTCTGGTATAAGTAAGTCAGAAGTTCACAATGTTTTATTCTCATTCAAATATATATTGTCACTACTTAATAGATTTGTTTCCTTAACATGTGCTGTCAGTTTTAAATAAGACTTAACTAAAGTATTTGAAGACACTGCTCCATCAGCTTAAGTAGCATACACATACACTTTTATGTTCAC